AGAAATATTATGTTTGTACCAAGTTTACTTGACCTAAAGTAATTGAGCCAATCGTTTCTGATACACAGGATAGTACAAAAGTAAAGAAATAACTGTTCAAAAAAGAAAGTAAATGTAGGGATGGCTAATATCAATCCTTCAAAAACAATGCAAACAAGATAAGAGGGATGGCACTTGCATCATCCCTACATAGTAACATAGACAAGAATTAACATATAGCAGTTTATTACTATTAAATCACAATTGAGTTAATTCATCCTGTTTTTGTCTGTTAACATTCTACTACACTGTGTGTCTGTGCTACTATGTAAGGATGATGCAAATGCCATCCCTACTATCTTGTTTACATTGTTTTTGAAAGATTGATATTAGCCTTCCCCACATTTACTTCCTTTTTGAAAAGTTTTTCCTTTATTTGTATCTTTTTAAAGTGACACCTTAAATGAAAGTTAAAAGTTTATCAATCACCTTCTTTCCATCATCTTTCTCTAGATGCAGATAGTATGTTGGAAATAAGCCTCGGTCCATTCCTTTCTTGTCCCGAGTGATGCGACATCGGACAGTCAGGCCTTTAGGACAAGGTTCACTAATAAATGCAGGAAGATCCTCTAGTAAGTCTTCCAATATACCAAGGCCTAAACTTGGTTCGTATTCTTCTTCTTTACTAGGTTGCGCATTACTCTCTGATCTTGTAGTAGTTGGCATTAACAATGATGAGTCTCGCACCTGAAGAGTAATAATAATTATACTGATAATTATGTAAAACTTGAAAGTATTCTCTTGTGGCTGCCCAATAGGTAAAGAAACATTATCTGAATTCAATGATCAGTAATTTGTTTTTTAATCTTAATGAATTTATATATACCTCTGGTGGTTAGCATATGAAACCATACCAGATGACTTTTTCACCACTATAGGTAACTAGACCCATTTATTGTTTACATCAACCACTGGTGGTTGTTGTTTGGCCTTTACCATTTAAGATATATTCAAAATCATAGAACAGTATAAACTGAAATAACAAATGAAACTTGATTATGAAAACAAAAACAGACTGGCTACATTATTAGTTCATAAGCCTCAGCATCTTTGCATACAAACTATACCATACCACCTTATTATTTCTAAAATATCATAAACCTATGTATAATTCTTATATAAACAAGTAGTTATAACAATGTATTTTATATCTCTAGTTACTAAAATATTGAATAATTTTTTTTTGATAATAGTAATAAACTATACTTACTTTATAAAAATGTCGACATTTATGTGATTGTGGTAATTCTTAGCACTAACCTCCACTTCAGAAGGATTAATCTCAGAAGAAAGATCATTTACAACAGATTCCTGGCTGTCACTAGGAGGTAAAAAAGTAACATATTGTGAATTACTGGTAGAAAGAGTTGATGCAGTTGAACTAGTTGGGATGATAGGAATGCTTTCCTGATCTTCATCAAAATCTACTTGAGATGGTAAGTTCAACATTTCCAGTTTTTGCTTCAATCCTACAAGATATAAATCAAGTATGGAATCTTAAAATAATGACTCTACTACTTTTTTAGCAAGTAACTTGTAAGGAGACTTAGTTCATGAGTAAGGTACACAGATATAATGTTTCAAAATTTGAATTTTGTGATAAAAATATATGTTAATCACTTTTTATGACCAGGAACAATGATTTTTTTTTCTAACACTAAGATCAGCTTGATGCCTGTGCATTCACAACTGACAGAAAAACAATGTTTAACATCATAATGAAAAATATCGTACTTAGAGATCATACCATTTATTAACAAAAAAGTATTTTCCTTATGCTATTTGGCAGTACAGATATATACAAGTATAGCAAAGATAAAAGGATCAATGCCTGTGCTTTACAATCCCTTCTACTACTGTTGGTATTCTATGTGATATCCATGGTTATAAATTATTTCTCTGCAGTGCTGGATTCACTTTAGGACACTTTTAATGAAGCACATTGAGATCAATGTTGTTTTCCACTCCTCTTTATAAGTTTCCCAAAGTCTTTCATTTATGCACATACAATGGCTTTGAAGGACCTGTTTGAATACCCAAAAGCCAAAGAAGTCTATGAGAAATGTTTACAAATATCAATTTTTGTTTTTGTATTTGAATCATGCAGAAGAACTGTCGGGTTGATTTAAGCATGTGACTAGATGTTTTATCTCGAGAAAGCCATACCTTGTTGACATACAGTACAAAGGCGGTGTTTCCTCTTTGTATAGCCTGATATTATGCAAAGTTCATCTTGGAATATTTCTCAATTTTTTGGATTATAGCCTGTAACCTACAACCATCACACATGATTTGGAAAAAATACTTGGACATTCTCCGTACCATCTCTGAAATGTTAAATCACCATTACTAGGACAGTAATAAATTTTCCAGACTTTTGCAGACACTTAAGTAAACAATGTTTTATCCAATGTGAAAATATATTTTCACTTGTCACATGTTAAACATTGCTTGTATAACTGTCAACAGTTGGTCTTCTTTGGGAGATGCTTATTAACATAACAGGAGTCAAAGATCTTTTTAAGCTCACAAAAAATATTTTACATTTTGAAACAATGAACTCGATGAACTGGGGATTCTTTTGTCTTTTTGAGTACAATGCAAATTAACTTGTAAAAAATTATATAAGCAAAAGAGACTTTGGGGGCTGTGGCTTGAACCTAGGAGCTCTGGCTAACAAGAAACGTATTCTAACATTGAGCTATTCAAAAGTACATGCTATCTCTGTCTGTTCACACATAAGGCTTTTTTTACTATGAATATGATCACAATACTACATTATGGTGTTGTCAGGCAATTTGTAGATTATTTTACCACTATCCAACCAAATAATTTATTTACTATTATTTTAAGGTACCATTAAAAGTCAAGTGGTTTGCTACCACAAAGAGCTCTTAACTAACTGGTGATACCATTCTAAAAATGTATGACATTCATAAATAGCATTAAATATAAAAAACCCTTATCTTGTTTGCAGTTATATAAGTAATGTTCATCACTTTGTATATGTACACTTTCTGCAATGTACATTTTTCATATACAATACATTTTAAGTTATCTAGCATAGTAAGTTTGCAGTGAGACATATAATTTAATTCCTCAATCTCAGTATGATATGTCAGGAGATTGTGGTAAATAAATGTGATGCTAAAACATGGTGAATTTCCTGAGAGACATAATACCTTTATTGGGCCATAATCTATTAGAATTTAATATAAATAGCAGTAAAATGTTCATGTCTACTGATTTTATTACATTATCAAGAAATTATACAAAGAAAACTTTACACCAGCTGTGTTAATAATCCTAGAGTAAAAAGTTTCAATCAGAATTTGTTTTAAATTAAACTAGTGTCACTAACCTTAATATTGATTAAATTTAATATTGAAGAAGTGATTTTCTGAGAAAATCTACTTTAAAATGATGATTTTAAAGGTAAAAGAAAAACATCTTTACTGAAAGTGGTCTTGACAGTTGCTCAAGAAGCTGACAACTTGAAAAAATGTATGACGATGTAAAGAAATGCAGTCCTCACAAAAATATGTAAAAATTGATGCATCCTCTGAATAGTGGTTCAAAGACATTGAAATAAAACTAATTAGCCTAAAAATGTTATTATATAATATTTTATTTAGATACATTTTTACAATTTACAAATACTAAATAGTACATGACATGAATGAAGAGTAGGAAGATGCTTGTAATGGCTGGAGACGGCTTAAATGGGTAATGAAGAAAAACTTTAATATAAGTTTAACATGACAGCAAATGTACAACGTTTCGACAAGGTTTTGTCATCATCATAGATCATGCTATCCTCACACTTTGCTTTCCCTTCTTTCACCTGATGATGACAAAAACTTGTCGAAATGTTGTACATTTGCTGTTATGTTAAACTTATATCAAAGTTTTCTTCATTACCCATTTAAGCTGTCTCCAGCCATTATTAGTCTCAAAGTGGGTTCCTCGTCATCGAATAGGAAGATGCTTGGTTAAGTTTGACCAAATTATGGTCTTCAGCTGTATTTTTAGTTTATTAATTCTGACAAGTCACATAAACACTTCCTGTGTTTGTACAGAAACTGGCCATTTACCACTTCACTGAAAGATAAGTACTGCTGATGGAGCTAAAAGAAAAATATATTTCACAGTTTTTCATTTTCTTTTTACTAAACATCACTGTGTGCATTAGTGTTTGACTTTGAAATAGTTGGGTAAGATGGATATGTTGTTCTTTAAAGTTTTTCTTTTCTTGCACAACCTTATGCACAATAAAGTTTAGAGCTCAATGCTATGCACAAAGATATTATAACATGTTGCATGTTGTGTATATTTATATTGAAATGCAATTGTTTAATAGGAACAGTAAATGATGCAACATCATCAATATACAGTGTACATGTAAATATATTGTGTATGCTATGCTTTCAATATTTTAATTTAAACACTTTGTGTTAATTGCTAGAGGGAGTTTTAGCAAGACATAATGAGGATGTGTGGTGTCTAGACATCTCAAATTGATGTAACATGTTGAGCATGACATCTCGAATTTTCTGAAAGGTTGGAGAAAAATAAATAACAGTATTTAAATACCAGAAGACTATTGGATAGATAGTCACTGGGTCAGAGAGAGTAAATCAGTTATTTAGTCAGTCACTTTTGAACTGTGTCGTAGATACGACAGAAAAGTTAATAAGTGATTGTTAAATTGTATTTGTGTAGCTTGTAGAACTTGTATGTTAAGACCAAAGAAATAAATCATTTTCATTATCATTAAGTGGAGAGTACTTTTAATTATTTATAGTAAATAATCATAAAGAACTTACCCAAGGACAGAAACTGTTACAACAGTACAATATTAAAGAAGCAGCCATTTTGTTGTGCAAAATGTAATAAAACAGAAAATTCACTTTAAAACTATTATCAATTTGAAGGATTACAGATGTTAAAACACTTTTGAACACAAGAGTGGATAAAGATCCTGACTCCCACTTTTGGTGGCCTCACATAAATCTTTTAAAACTTCTTTATTTGTTTCTTTTCTGCGAGATCAAAAATCTACATGCAGACTTTTAAGTATTTTTTTTGCAAAATTATGAATGGAGTTCATAAAATCAAGTAAATATACAACCATCAATACAACCAGAGAATTAGCTTCTCAACAAATTCTTGTATGTCTGCAAGTACCATTAAAGTATGTTTCTCCTCTGGTTCTTTTTGATTCACCACAAAGATCTTTCAAAAACAAACAACAATTATTTATGCAATAAAATGGTCTTCTAGCACAGCAGCATATTACTGAAAATTACTACAAAGACAGAATAATGGACATTTTAAATTTTTGTTTCAGGTCACTAAAATTCAGCTTATCACAGGATTTATAAACTGTAATTTACAGATGTGTTTGGATAACATAATGAACATTTTTGAAAAGACACCCTATTTGTGCCAAAAATACATTCTGGATTTAAAAAAAAAGAAAAATACCTAAAAAATATGAATTTCAACAAAAATATCATTTCTAACTTCTACCCCCTATATACTCTGTTAACCTTACAAATTGCACCCCACCCCAAAAGTGGTACAGCCATAAGTCTTCAAACTTGTAATGCTATATCAACACTCATGGTGGGCACAGCACAGATAGCTCATTGTGTAGCTTCGTGCTTAACTACAAACAAACAAACAAACTAATTGCATAGTAACATACCTTACAACAATCTAATACATGTAACAAATAAACTGATCAAAGACATTTAAAATTCTTATTGTTATATTCATCTACTTTAACACTCTATGCAATGGTGGGGTTCAAAGTACTCATGCCATGACCTATTAGAGAGTGCCATTCAACATGGTACTACGTATTTGATGTCAGACTTGCCAATATTCATTTGCCCTTCATTGCTGATTTAGGGACAGTTTGTGGTAAGTAAATACCAAATACAATACACAGGGATACTTACAAAAACTGTAGATATGCATTTCAGAGGTTCAACAAGTTATGAAAATACAACATGCAATTTGTATGATGGAAAAAAAAAGTATGTTTATTCTTCACATGAACATCACTTTGCACTGTGACTTGTTAGATTCTGAATCAGACTAATGTCGTAAATCTACAAACTTATCTTGAGTAGAAATACTTTTGTAACATGTGGTATTTCGTGCACAACAAAATGCAACTAAAATTGCAACTAAATGCTTGCAACATTTCACATAAGTACACAAAGTAAATTCGGAATTATAGTCAATATCCCTTCTTCAATATGATTTCAGTCCATCAACCAACCCCTTGCACATTTGGTTAAGCATAACATTCAAAGTAAATGTCACTAATTTTTATTATTCTGAAATACATTAGCATGTTATTTTTCAATTACATTTTTATGATGCCCATGGAATAGCTGGAGGGTGATAAAAATGACAAAATTGGATTTTTACCCACCTACTCCAATACATTTATGTT